GAAGACAATACAACCTAAACAATAAATAATTGTTTTTAGGAAAAAACATTACAGTTTTACAGTTAAAACAGAAGTATTACAGTTAAAAACAGAAAATAAGACACACTAGTAAAGAGAACCAACCCAGACTTTAGAGATTTGTAAATGATAGGACTCACCTGAGTTTGAAAACCTGAGTTTACCTTAAAAATTCCTATACCTTTATTCCAAAAATATTTCTGTTAAACTTAATACCAGAGAAATGTGAAAAGAATGATTTATATTTTATATTGCATGTGGTAACTGCTGCCAGAACATTCTATGCTAAGTTTTGGAAGACAACAGAATTGCCATCTAAGAAAGATATTGTTAACGAAATACTTCAAGTAGCAGAAATTGATAAACTTTCATTTCGTTTAAAGGACCGAGCAGAAGAAATCTATGAAAATACCTGGGCCAAGTCCTATAGTTGGATTGGAAACTATGATAACTTGAAAATGTCGACTAATTAAAACCCAAGAAAAGATATGATTAAAATCTCTCTATCCTGCATAAAAGATACTTAATGAACAGTACTGACAAGGCAAAATTCTTGGACAAGATGTACCCCATGTTTTTTTAATGTTTACTTTTTGTTTGTTTATCTGTATATACTTAATAAAGAGTTTACATTCAAATGAGTGTGTCAGTCTGTACCACTTCCAAGTAATTGCAGCTGGATTCTTAGCCAGGTGAATTCCTCAGTTTTCTTCCAACCTGCCCTATTGTCTATTCCCACCTAAGCAGACCAATTTGCCTGGTTCCCCCCGCCTCTTGCTCTATTAACTTCCCCGGTTGATTGCGACTTTAAAAACAAAACAAAACTTCTGTGTGTGTGATCTTGAATTGCTAGGTAATGCAAGATGAGACTATTTCTGCTTTTGGCTGGAAGGGATTGCACTCCTCCCGCATGAGCAGGTTCGTAGTTTGGAGGAGCTGCTTGCTCACGGCTGGAGTCCCAGGTCTTTTTTGCGGAACATTTCTTTATCTTCTCACCTGCCATATGCGAATCACAAAAGCGTACGCCATCAAACAGTGCTGCTCATGAGAAGGTGAACCATGGCCAGTAATGACAGCCATTAATGTATGAGCTCTAATCAAAGCTTCTAACTGTTTTATGTTTCTTAAATCTCCGACTGTAATTTCGTTACTTGTACCTAGGAGTCAAAATGATAATGCATGATTTTTTGTTTACTGTTTGCTCCCCATTAAAAAATTACAACAATGCAATAGCATGCTGACATCTGACTCAGAATATTCCATAATTTAATATCAAAAGTATTTTTGAAATGAAAATGAGAAGAAAATGCCACTCAGGAGAGAACTAACAAGCAGAAAATCAATTGAAGATAACCATGCTGAGAAACACAGTCACCTTAACTAGACATCTGCATAAATCTTACTGTGAATTGTAAATGTCACAAAAATAACACAAGATAATAGAAAGAAACCCAACTATGAAACCGTTAATTTCTTTAGAGTTATTTAAATACATACCTTCACCATCAAGGTTCTTTGTGATAGGTTTCAGATGCAGCAAAATATCCATGGCCCAATCCACGTGCTTAATGACTCCACTAAGAGGAAACTGGTTGCAGTACAGCCATTCTGCAAATTCTAGCAAATTATCAACTTTCTTTAATTCGAATTCTCTTTTCTATAAAAATGGTGAATGTATTATTAGACAAGTTGCCATTGACCGCTTGAGACACAACAGTGAAGCATGGTTTGCCTCTATATGAATGAGCATGTGGCATACTTGGTATTGTGCTCTCCTTTCCTTGCACATGACTTCCAAATTAAAGACTTCCAATTTTGCAGCAAGCCATATTTTGCCAGTAGGAATGGGCACAAACTGGTTCACGAGCCAAAATTTGGCAAGAACTTGGCCCAGTTTGGAGCCCCTGAACCAATATTTGGAAAAGGCGCCTTTCCTGAACATTTACGGGATTTTTGCCTGGTTTGGTTCAGCTGTTCAATCTATTTAAACCTAACAGCTGAGCAGCATGGGTCCACAGCTGAGCTGTTAGGTTTAAATGGCTGTCAGCCATTTCAGCCTAACAGCTGACAGGTGCACCCACCCCACTGTTAGGCTGAAATGGCTACTAGCCATTACACCAGTTGGTTTCACTTACAAGTGGGGGGAAGCGAAACAGACTGGTAAAATGGCTGCTAGCCATTTAAATTTAACAGAGGAGTGGGTCCACCCATCAGCTGTTAGGTTTAAATGGCTGTGAGCCATTAAACCTGTTGGTTTTGCTCCCAATGCAGCTCACATCATTTTCTTCTCTTCTATTTTATTTTCATAACAATCCTGTGAAGTAGGTTAGGCTGGCAGTGTATGACTGACCCAGTGAGCTTTCATGGTAGAGGGGAGATTTCAATCAGCTTAGCCGAGCGGTTCCTTCGTCTCCAATCTAGGTCCAAAATCCTAATTTGAAACTCTGATCACTACACAACACTGGCTTTTGTGGGATGGCTGTTGCTGACCAGTACTGAGCAGCCAATCCTGGATGAGTTGTGCCAAGTTGTGTGGTATCAAGTTGTTCAGTGGCTGCTGCCTTGCCTGGCTTGGATGTATCCTCCCTCAAAGTCCAAAACAGGCCTGGCCTTTCCCCCCTGCATTTTACTGACAGAAACCAAGGCTTGAATGCTGGCAATACCATTGTGATTGCCTAAAAACAGCCACTGAAGGCATTAATTTCTTAAAGTCACAGGCATTGATCCTATCATTTTGAAGGGTTTTAAGTCTCCAGTGTATTTTTTAAAAGATTTTTATGCTAACCTGGGGCTTTTCTCAGGTTTGTAGAAAGATCTGTCTTGTCTTTCCATTGCCCCGTCTCTGAATTTAAGTTTCCACAGACAGGGCCATGTTGAGAATTAGATATACTGACAATAGGCAATATTTTCAAATGTGAGGTGGACTGGAACATCATTCTTCAGATGACTTCATAAGCTTTCACAAACATGGCAAGTGTTTTAATGGATATACAAAACTGAAACTGAAAACTGCCACAAAAACTATCTTTAGACATTTGGAAGTGTGTTCAACCAACAATAACTTTAAAATGAGGAAAGATACAGACCTGTAAAACTTCAATTCCATTTTGGTAACAGGACAACTGTCCTGCAAGGTCTGATGACACTAGTGCCAAACGATGCCACATATAGGACAAGTAGTCCTCACTTTCATCTTTGAATTTCTGAATTTCCATTATATAGTTACGTCCAAGTCTGGCCTTCACCAATAACATATGTTTAAAAATTGGACTAGAAAAAAAAGTTATATAACGTTTACAAATTCAGAGAGATATGCTAGAATCAATACATCTAAGCTACAGAAATATTTTGGAATCAGAAGTCATTGTCTCTGTGCTACAGACATGACAGTCATCAAATCAGTATCAAACTTCAAATGTAAATGAGTAAGACAAAACAATGGGTCATGAAAGGAGTGGGTGGAAAGGATCTCCACTGACATTCTCTTCATCCAGCAGATCACTGACTGCACAAGAAATCTTCAGCTGAGGAGTGGGGAATACTTGTAAACAGAACACATCCACAGTGTGTTTGTATGTGTGTGTAAATCAATGAGGAAAAGGAACCAAATTTTGCACAGTTCCCAGTCTCATCACTTTCCTCCCTGTATGTGTACAAGAATTCCCTAACTATGAATGGAGGATTTTCAGAGAGTTGAGGGGGCTCCTTGGAGGAGAACATGGGGAATGCCAATTCATTCCATGAACTTTTCTCCCGTAAGAGTCAAGGTCTTCTGACCTTTAAGCCGGCAGAAGTGGACTCAACCCTGGCTGTGGGTATCCGCCAGGCTGATGATTCTGGGGGGCTTCAACATCCATGTTGAGTCCACCTTGTCTGATCATGCTCAGGACTATCCAGGTTGTGCTGGGTCCTATGCATGAAAAAGGCATACATTAGATTTACTGTTCTGCACTGAACAGGAAACAGGTGATCTGGTGGGAGGAGGTATTGAATTTGACATTTGTTGTGGACAGATAATGAGTTAGATTGCTTTGCCTCCAGCACCCTGGGATTTATGGCTCCTGTGGGATTTTGAGAGTCTTAACAGGAACTCGAGTCCTTAGTGAAAGACTGGAATGGCAGGCTGCTTCAGTGATAGACAGGATTGTTTCCCAGTGCCCTCTTCCCAGTCATTGAATAACACCAGCCCTGTGGTAAACTCAGAGTTTGCAGATTTGAACCAGGTTGGAAGACAGCTTAAGTGATGGCAATTAAAGACCTGAAGCAAAACTGACAAGACACTGCACAGAGCCCATTATCAGGCCTATGAAACTGAATCCAGGCAAGACAGAGTGACGTGGATGAGGAAAGCAAGTGTCCTTGAGAGGGTCAGATTTGCTGATTCTGGGTGGAATTAAATTGACCCTATCAGAGTGTTTAAAAGTTTAGGAGTGCTGCTGGATTCTGCATTGCTCTTTGAACAGCAGATTGATGTGTAGCCAAAGTCACCTTCTATTGCATCTGACTTGAAAACTTCCTACCATCCTTGATTCTGCTGACCTGGCCACACCAGTCTATGCTTTCATAATCTCCAGTCTTAATAGGCAATTCAATATCTCAATGTAAAAAAAAATGAACAGAACCACCAGGGACTTGGATGGCACAATGGGCAAATCAACAGCCTTTGCGTTTGAGGGTGCAGAGTTCAAATCTCTATTCAGGTGTATACTTGCTTTGGGGCAGTTCCCATACCTCAGTGGTAAACCATGTGCTTGCATGAAAAAGGCTTAGGTTCAATACCTGTAATATCTGCAATATTCGTTTTAAGTATCTTAGGTAATACTAGTCAAGATATACAGCGTGATGGTTTAAGGCAGTTTCCTATTTTCCTAGCTTATCCACAAAGCCAAAAAGATATGGTAAGCTTTTCATTTATCCCTTTAAAATCCCACCACATTCACACTTCAGTTCTTTCCTATGTGGCTGTAGATTCAAGGTACACACTGGGGTATCTCTCCAACCAGTGGAAACATGTAACCAATAGAGAACCAGATACATAGAAAACCGTTCCCTCTCTGAAAGGGTGAAGCAGGCCTCTAAACACAGCAGTGCTCTCAATTATTCCTGTGGAGTCTAAAGGTACAATACTATGTACACTTACCCCAGGGTAAGCACAATTCAACATCATGGAAATTACTCCTGAGTAAACATAGATATGATTGCACTGCATGACCAACTCAGCCATTGTGTATAGGTGTGTGTGTGTGTAAAAAAGGCAAAAACAATCCAAACTACAGTCTCTGTTTACTTATAGGTGTGTGTGTGTAAAAAAGGCAAAAACAATCCAAACTACTTACAGTCTCTGTTTACTTCGAGGGAGAACCTGAACAGCTTCATCCAACACTTTAAGGCCGGCTTCCCAATCATTTTGATCAGCATACACTTGGAATAATAACACATACAGAAATGTCCTTAGTGTCAAATCCTCATCTGCACCTGGAAAATACAATAAAACAATATTTAATGTTATAAAATCAATGTGGTCAGCTTGCTAAAAAAATTGTCATTATCAAAAGGATGTACCTGGATAAAAATGCCCATCTGACAAACTGCTGCTTTGAAATTCAGCTGTAGGCCACTGATGTAAATATACCAAACTTTCCTTTCCCTAAATAATGTTGGGTAGAGATGAAAAAAGTGCTCATGAATTTTAATAGTTAGCAAAAACAAAAAGTGATTGGCTAGAAATAACACCTCTCAGTGGGCCTAGACACAGGAGAAGCTGAACCCAAGGGAGGTTTGAAGGTCTGCGGGCCAAGGGATCGAGAAGATATGGAAGGGCAGAACTGCATTATTTATATTTTATAGGAAAAGAAATCCCACCCTACTAGCAAATTCAGACCCTTGTGATAGATTTCATATATTAATATGAATTAACTAGCTAATATCTGGTCTTCAGGTTTCTGTTTCAAGTTTAAATTATTGTTTACTTGCTGTAGGAACAAACAAGGCTAGCTATTAGATGCTGTTGTTTATTACCTGCTTATTTTTGGCTTCTGCTGCTTTAATGATGTTTTTGAGAATAACTTCAGTGGGCTTTTTAAGCTGTTGTCTGTCTATTGGAGAACCAATGAAAGGTAAACATGTGTTCCAGAAATGCCTACTTGCTATCATTGCAAGAGCAAGATTCCCTGCTGCTCCTGCATAACTTGGAAGGAGAAAACAACACAATAATCATATGTTTGTTGCATATAGTAGATGTCTGCTATCATTACGGTGAAATCAACCCACTGTTCTCTCCGTGCATCCTCAACAAAACAGGTATCACATTTCTTGAGTGTTTGACCTGTTTTTTCTGTAAATAAAATATATATATATATTTCCTGTTTTTTATTTTCATTTTTAAAGAAAAATATTGCAATCGGGAATGGACTCAACGTTATTAAAAATGTCCCTGTGGATTTTCTCTAAAACAATTTCCTATGTATAACCGCTTTTAATATGGTAATAATTACAGATAATCTGTGCATACATATATGAAACTTCCTTGACTGTAATACAGATTGCCAGCATTCTAGAACAGTTTAGAAACATACAGTAGTAGCCTAATAGCTGTTGCAATACTTTCTGCATTGGTCCAATAATTAAGAATTGTCACTTTACATCAATATGATTACACAGCTGTCTTCATTCTTCAGTTCTTACAAATGTGTTCTTTTAGCCCTTTCAGAACTTGGCATAAAAGTGTGGATCCCCCCCCCACCACAAAACCACACAACTCAAATCCCTGCACAATGAGGCCAGCTACAGAAATGGGAGATGGGAATCCTTAGTGTTTCCTGAAAAACTAAGGATTCCCATCTCCCATTTCTGTAGCTCCGAGGAGAGGAGGGAGATGGGTGGCCATGGATGGTCATTCTTGGGGCAGGGCTTGGGGGTAAGGCTTTCCCCACTGATCAGCCCTGAAAATCAGGGAAACGCTCATAGAACCGGGGGTCTGGCAACCCTAGTGTAAGACCAGCTTTCCACTACAGTTGCCATCCTCTGGGTAGGAAAAAACACACAAGCAATCCTGTGATATAAACATTATAAGAAGATTTATATAACTTTTCAGACTTTATAAAATTACAATATTAAACTGGATTAAGATGCTGACCTCTCCTTACAATGTAAAATTACATCTGAGGAAGACTGTAAAGTTGAAATGAGTTCATACCGGGTACTCATTATGTTGGACTACATTGGACTTTTTGTTCACAATATTGTGCAATTGATAAAGCTTTTTGTAATTTTATAGTCTGAAAAGTTATATAAATCTTCTTATAATTAAGGTAGTGTTTTTATGTAAAGGGAGTAGTTTGTTAGGCATATCATGGGTACTGAAAGAATCTGTTTCATTGAAGTGGGAAGAATGTTGTGTGTTAATTTACGGATTACAATTGTGTAAATATTTATAACATTATGGTAGGCATTATGGAATTTTCATGCAAGAATTAGTGATAATGTAAGATGGCTAATGTAATTGTTTTTCCTCTCTTTTCAGTGATGTGTAAACTAATAGTGTTCATGCAGCACACTTAGAAAAAGCTGTTATGTGAAACAGTATTACATGTAGTTCTCATTGTGTGTATGCATATATTTTTATAATGTGATGAAGAAATACGATTCACTACAGAATAGTAGTCTAAATATATTTTCATAATATAACATCACGGTTGTCCTTATTGTTTGCATCCTTCCCGTGATCTCTCTGTTGTTTCTACAACCTCTGGGTGGGGCCTGGAGATCTCTCAAAATTACAAGAGCTCTCCAGATTTCATCAACCACTTTCCCTGGAGAAAATGGCTGGTTTGGAGGATGGTCTATATGGCATTATACCCTGCTGATGTGCCTCCCCTTCCCAAATCCTGCCATCCCCAGGGTCCTGAAATTCCCAGCCCAGAGTTGGCAACCCAACTTTCCACTCCAAGCCTCCCTCACCTAACCACTGTCAGCCAGCTGATCAGAAAGTCAGGGGCTGGATGACAAGTGTGCCAGTAAGATATATGAATTAACTACTCTATCATATATTCTCCAAGATGGGTAGCCATGTTACTCTGTCTGTGGCCATAGAAAAGAGGAAGAGTCCAGTAGCACTTTAAATACTAAAAGAATTTGTGGCAGGGTGTGAGTATTCATAAAGTCATTGGCAAGTCAGCTACAGAGCTTTCTGGATGACACTTCCATCTTAGACCCCTTCCAGTCTGGTTTTCACCCTGGACACGGGACGGAGAGGGCACTGGTTGCCCTCATGGATGACCTCCAAAGGCATCTGGATCGGGGCGGATCAGCAGTGCTGTTGTTGAACCTCTTGCTTCTCTTAAATCTGCTGATTACTTTCAAAGCCACTTTTTTATAGGTTTATCTGCTTCTGATCGTTTTAGTAAATTAAGACATTGCTCAGATTTACACAAAGTGCCAGGATATCTTTCAATGAACCAATGTTTCAGAATTCTCAAAGGCACATATTCATTGTACTGTCTTCGTTTTATGGGATAAATGAATTCTGATTTTTGTATGTCTGCCATTTGTAAGCTAGTATTTTGGCTTCTTTATTAGCTCTGTCCAACATTTTTTTTTGCTTTACATAATTTATGTTCTTATGAGCTGAATAGGTATATTTCAAATTTAATATCTGCTTCTAATTATCAATTTCTTGTTTAATTTATGTTCCAATGTACTATTTAGTATTCTATCTATTATTTCCTGTCTCTCTACACCCCATCTAAAATGCAGCAATAAATATAATCTGACTTCTTCTGTGTTTGCTTTGCTAGCTTCCCAATCTATGGCTTTAAAAACTTTTTGATGTGTTTTTGTGTCTAAAGAAGTTCCACATGTCTTGTTCACATTTTCAGTTAATATAATGTAGTAATATATTGTTCATTCTCCAAAATTTCTGTCTAGTAACTATCATGTTCCTGTTATAAAGATAATAATCTATGCTCTGTATATGTTATGGGCTTCTTAAATGAACTTTTAATTCTTTTCAACAATACCAATGGAAAAATAAAAACATAATTCTTGAATAAATTATAAATATTTTCTGCAGTAAAGAAAACTTTGTATCTCCAAATGTTTCCTGGATGTTAAGATTCTGGAATTTCTTTACTATCTTACTTTAATGAAATCTATCCAGTCAAATAAAATTCTCAAAAAAAACCCTGATCCAGTTTGGAGTTCATGTTATATTCAGTGTTCATGTTTATATCTCTGTTGGAGATCTAGCAACACTTTAAAGATTTTTTCACAGAAAACATCTTGACTGATAGTTGGTGAATACACCATATGAGTTGCAAAAATACACTGCATCCACTTTTAAAGACACTAGCCAATTTCTTATTGTAGTATGCAATAACTCAAACCTTTACCATTATATGCTAAAAATAATCTATCATTAAACTCCACATAATTTATATAACTGGAAAGTTTAATTGGTAGAATCTGATGCAGAGGGGAGGGGGTATGATGTAGTAGTATGAGTTTATATCTTGCCATCCAACTTGAAATTAAAATCTGCTGGTGAAATGAACTGTAACAAGAACTTTGGGGATTGTTTATGCACAACTGCGATATATATTGTGAATTGTCCTGACCTCACTGCCCCACAAAAGCAACACCTTCACCTCTTCTTGCCAACTCCCATGAAGCAGACACTGGTTCCAGTCAGGTAGCTAAATATATGAATGAGGCCCAATATTTAGTTATTACAGTCCATTAACCTATCTTGTTCCTTCTTTATTAGTGGCTGATGATAAAGAACACATTGAGCCACCTCTTTCTTCCAGTGAACCTTGTGCACCTACAAACACAGTAATTCTCAGCTTTTTGGCTGTATTTTCCTATGGCTCTAGGAATAAAGAAGATACAAAAGAAAGAAAGAAAGAAAGAAAGAAAGAAAGAAAGAAAGAAAGAAAGAAAGAAAGAAAGAAAGAAAGAAAGAAAGAAAGAAAGAAAGAACAATAAATACTCAAAAGCTGCAGTAGCATAATATCTGTTGTTAGGACTAACTAATCCATTACAAACATTTATATTCTAAAGGCATACCATTACATTTTTACATATCAATGAACATTCTTTGTGAGTGACAGATTCCTTCAGGTTCTTGTCAATAATACTCAGTATGCAAATGTTCAGATATTATTTGGATATATGCATTAGCTACCTTGTAAGAGTTAAAGTTTCTCTAAAATATCTTACCATGTTCCAATATATGCAACATACCTTGCACTTTTAACAAAGGATTTTGATGCTACTAAACGTAATTGTTTTTTTCCTGCCAAGTTTTCCATTATACTCTTCCCTCGCGTACAAGCAGCAATACTTAGCATTTCTTGTCTCACCGTGTAATCATTCCTGTACAGAAAACCCAAAATCATTGCCAGTTGAACTTCTAGTATTATATACCAAATACATGGCTTTCCAGACTAATCATGACCCAAGTACAGGAATTTTCTCCAGTGGGAAGTTCTGAGAGTCAGATTATTTGAACCCATCAGTGAAGTCTGAGCATTTAATATTTTTTAAAATAATGCCACACTTCGCTTAGGTCAGAAACTTTAAATAGCACACTAACAAAACAAATCACCACATACCTTTCCAAATATATAATGAGCTGACTCTCATTTGCCATCATTTTTGGTACTTTGCCCTCACGTCCAGTGTAGGTTTGAAAGGACTAGTTCTGCCTTTACGTCAACTTGGGAGTTAGCTTGATAGGTAGGAAATCTTAGTTCTTATCCGGCAACTAAGCCATTTGAGATCTAAGATGGCTCATTTGGCTTGGATTGTTTAGGCCTCTCACATACATTAGAACCCCCCCACGCTCCCTTTGGTCATTGTCTAGGGGCCTCTTGCAGGTGCCTGGCCCCAGAATGGTTCAGTTAGCGGTCATCAGGGGAAGGGCCTTCTCAGCTGTGGCCCCCTACCCTGTGGAATGCACTCTTGGATGGCACCCATGCCTTAGTTTCCACAGGGCATGCAAAGCTGAATTGTTTAGGTTGTCCTTTGGAAGGTAACTGCAAGTTTGGGCTGTTTTAACAGTGATATGGTGACAGACACATATCTTAATAATTTAATATTCTAATGTTAATATTTTATATTTGTTATTTGTTTTTATGTTGTTTTACCCTATGGTTTTAATGTTGTAAGTCACCATAAGACCCTTGGGGTGAGGGGCAACTAAAAAAATCTAAGAAATAAATTCTGCTTCCAGCTCAAGCGTCAGGAGAAAAGGAAGGGTAATTGGCACATTGGAACACTACCTCTCAGCTTATTGCCCCACAGGCACGTTGTCTAGTAGCAATAGGGTTGCCAAGTCCGGTATCGTGCCGCAGCGGGGGACTCCCGGTTGGCGTCTGGAGCACGCAGAGTTTTCCCTCGGATGACCGTGGCCCCGCCCCCAGCGTGCCTGGCATGGTCACATCACTTCTAGGTGACGTGCGCGTCGGGGTGGGGATCCCCCGGGGCCCGATCCGCCGCCGCCGGGGAGCGGGCCTCTGGGGCGGGGTTTTCCCCGCCCCACCCGGGGGACTTGGCAAGCCTAAGTAGCAACTGTGCTGTGAAGATGCCCAGGGTGGGAGATAAAGAGAGAAGAAAGTGGGGATGAGAATAGACATGGTCTGGGCTTGAAGAGTACACCCAGGCCTCCTGCACTCCTTACCCTAAGACAAGAAGGGAGAGACAAAGACAAAGGAGGGGAAGCTCTACACTAACAAAACTGGTATCCTAAAAGCCCCAGTAGCAGTGATGCTGGAACCCTGCTGCCTGCTTCCCAGAGAGAGCTGGTCTGGGGAAACTCCTCCCTTTGGTGTCTCTCAGCTTAAGGTCTCTGGCCATAACCAGGAGGCACTTCCCCATCCTGAAACCACCAGAGAAGATCTGCTTCTACGAATACCTTGAACTCATGCTCCACAGGATCTGACTTCATGTTTAATGCTGACTAGTGTGGCCCTCATTTTAAATTAGGGTTTGGAGTGGGGTTACAAATCCTAACTACAGAGCAATCCTCTCTAGCATTACCCATTGTTTACTTATTTTATTATTTAAACATGCCGTTTCTCGCTTCCTTTCTTGTAGAGGCAATAATTCATATGCAATAGTATACCATCGTTAAATCATGAAAAGAGAATTTATACTGGAGAGCAGAAGAGAGGAGAGAGAATGAGCCAACAGCATGCCCTCTGTGTCCCAACCATCTGTACTGGCCACTACTTCAAAATTACAGAAAGTAGCACATTTCCTCCATGGCTGCTCTAATATCCCCTTTGTCCAAAACTGCCACAGCAAACGTATTTTGAACCCTACCATGATATTCATGGGGTTTTTCTTCATATTCAGAAGAAATATCAAGGCTATTCAGGACTTGCTGTCTTACATATTGAAATATAAAGTGTTGATTTTAATCATTGTGACTACTAACCTGGCTAATTCTGTTGTGTGCGTGGAGGAATCTGGAGCATCTGAATTCACACTGAAATTTCCTGTCCATTTATATAAATGTCAATGGTGGTTTTTCTGGCTGAAACAGCACATGGCCATTCTGGACACCATCTGCAAAAGCCTAAAGTACCAGCCTGAAGTGCCAGCAGATTTACGCTTAGCAGCCTTTCTGTCCTAGCCTGAGTGTTTTCATTTTCAAGATGTACTACGCCACAGCTTGAGAGGCTGGCTTTTGTTATAGCCATGAGGGTCAGGTGCCACAGCTTTCATTCAGATTTTTTCAATTCCTTGCATCATGAAGAAAAGGGTCAGTCTTCAAAATGAATGTGATTTTTGTAATAATTTTCATGTCTATACTCCCTCAGTTCTAAGTATTCTTTTGAGTTAATTTTCTTTTTTTTTTTACTCTATAGAGAATGTCAACATAGTCAAGGATAAAAGTATCTTCCTCAATAGGATATCATCCACCATTAGCGAAGAGATTTGAATAGACACCATCTGTATACAATCTAGAATAGCTGCAAAAGCTGCAGTGCAATTATGTATCAATAAAATGGTATATATTACTATGCCATCATAGTTTGAAAATCTCTTTGGCATGAAATTTGTGCTTTTTCAAAACAAGCTTTTAAATCTTTCAGTCTTTGCTACTTGTATATATTCTAAACAGTTTAGCCAACATTGACTATAGAACTATTTGGAATAGTTACATGCCTCACATCCTAGTAAAAGGGCTATGTTTTACAAACTGATTCTTTTCAAAACTTAAAAGTATTGGGATTTTTATAAACATATACTGGAAAAAGAAGTAGAAAAAGAATACTACTTCCATATAATCATTGTCTGGAGGACGAAAATCCAGATCAAGAAGTACAGTGCAGGTAAATGTGTATACTCAGGTCACAGTACCCAAGAAGGGTCAGGGTGTGTTGAAATTGTGCAAATGTAAAAAACAAAACAAAAACATAGCAGTGGAAGTATATACCCAGTTAGTTTGAGACATTTCTACTTTCGTCTTGCTCCTTGTTAAACTGCTTCTTGTAGCAGGTACTCCTTTGCATATTAGGCCACACACCCCTAATGTAGCCATTCCTACAAGAGCTTACAGAGCTCTTCTTACAGGAGCTACTGTAAGCTCTTGGAGGATTGGCTACATTAGGGGTGTGTCACTTAATATGCAAATGAGTACCTGCTACAAAAAGAGCCCTGCGTTGTTTGTCTTAAAGTTGGAATGCTCACGTTTGGTTCTTGCTTCTTTTGTCTTTTACTTCTTGTCAGCCAAGTAGCTAGAAACCATAACATTCTCTCTGTATGTTTAGTATATGCTTGCCAGATCTCCTGCTATACCATAAGACCTCCTGCTGCAAGGTGCTGACTCCCACCACCATTCAGGAGGCTGGTGGGAGTACAGATGATTAAAAAAAATCACAATTGCAATGACAGTGTGATGTCATATACAGGTTGAACCTGGAAATGACATCATGCCACTCTAGGATTCAGAAGAAACAATGGTAAAACAACAGAGTTTTCACAGAATCCTAGAGTGGTGTGCATCACTTCAGCATTCAGCAAAGAAATCACATCATTATGTCACCACAGCGGCACACTGCCATGTCACTACCTACCAATATCCTAATGGTTGCTAGCCATCATGGCAACCAAAATTTAGTAGCATGACTTCCCAACAATAAACAAAAAGGTTCTCGTGTTCTCTACAACCACAAAACACCTTCAGCACATTTTTATGAAGAAAATCTTCAATTTTGCCAACACACTGTATACACTACATTAAAATAAACAGAAGCCTGAGATGACTGCCTGTCAAGCTGTACTGCTGCACAGTACATATAAGGAAGAATCTGGCCAATCAGGAAACACAAAAATAATACATATGCAAATAACCCATATTTGAAAAATGAAAGATTCCATATTAACAACTCAGTTCCCTCCCAAAAATTATTCTCCTGTAAATTTGAATCGAAAGGCATATGGGTGAAAAAAAAGAAAAACACATCCATTTTTAATTAACCAAGTGATTTACTGAAGACCAAACTACATGAGATGCACAATTCCCCATTTCCCCCCACACAATATTAAGCAAGGGGAAAAAATCTAATGGGGTAAGGATGAAGTATCTTCCCTCCCTGTTGATCTTTGATAAGATTCCACCATCTAGCAGAAGCTAAGTATTTTGATCTTGAATCTCCTTCTGTCCTTTACTTAATGCAATAATCATCATTTACGTTAGAGGGCACTAAAGTTCTGTGTTTTCAAATAAATTCTACAAGCATTATTTCCAGTTTTCCTAAATAGTGACTTTTCAATACAAAGCTTCACAATGAACTATAATTATAAATAGCATGAAAAATTCTTGCATCAAAACAGTGAAATCCAAAGCAGAGTTACACCCTTCTGCAGCTACTGGGATAACAGAATTAGAAGAGTATAACTCTGTTTAGAATTGCACTATAAATGTAAAAGGTAAAGGTTTCCCTTGCTCGAAAGCCAGTCAAATACGACTCTAGGGGGCAGTGCTCATCTCCGTTTCCAAGCCAAAGAGCCAGCGCTGTCCGTAGACTTTTCTGTGGTCATGTGGCTGGCATGACTAAACATTGAGGCACACAGAATGCTGTTACCTTCCCACCAAAGCGGTACCTATTTATCTACTTGCAATTTCTTGCTTTCGAACTGCTAGGTTGGCAGGTGCTGGGGCCAGAGATGGGAGCTCACTCCATCACGCAGCACTAGGGTCTCGAACTGCTGAGCTACCGACCTTCTGGTCTGCAGCTTAGCATCTTAACCTCTGAGCCACCGCAGCCCAATAAATGTTCTATCAATCATTAAATCTGAAGTTGCAAATCCTGACAATTATTTCACACACTAAACAATATTCTAGAAGGAGAAAGCGTATATACAGATATCTAGTGAGTAAAGAATGATGTGGGTTCAAAACAAAATAAATTTAGCAAACTATAATTCAACAGCAAATAGTACAGGGATTGAAAGGCAAAAGAATGGCCACCAATGATTAGTGTGTGTGTACATCTGTATATACCTGTTGCATGTGCAAATTCTCCCTATCTTTAGCTGTTGTCAAGGAGAACTAGGTTCCTTACTTAATTGGCATCCTTTAACAGCAGCTTCAACCCTGGTTACGAACCATGGGATCTAGTCACCTTAGTTAATGACAGTGCCTGTATCTCACTTAACAGCAGTGAAAATGGAATTGGGAATCAAAAGCACCTCTCTGGAAGGGCTGCACAATAATTCTGGCTAATCCCAATCTCTTAATTTTGGTTAATTATGCCTGATTTTTAAAAATATTTACAAGTTAGCCATCTACTTACATTCCTTGTTTATTGGCATCTGTGTTGTACAGTGATTCATCACCTAATTTCAAAATCTTCTGAGAACATGTCATCACTAATTCATGTTCATGGACAGTGTGTGCAAAATGTGTAAGTCTGGTCAGTGTCTGAAGTTCCACAAGCGGATCTGGCCAATTGCATTCCAAAGCCATTTTGAACATCTGCAGAAGATAATGGGATAGGAATCTGTACCCAGATCCATATTAACACCAAGCACATATATTCTTATACAAATGAGGGAATAAGATATGGTGGACTGTTGTAAAGATTTAAGGAAAACTACTCTCTCTATACATCTTTTCTATTTCATTCAAAATTTCAAACGCATTGTACCTTCTCTGTGCCTTGTTTTGAGACCCCATAAAGTCTTAAAACAACTCAGAATATGGACAAGACTAGATACAGCAGAATACAAAAAGGAAATGTGGAATAGAAAAAGTTGTTTTGCAAGGTTGTCATCAGATTATTTGAATTCCTTTCCAAGATTCTTTTGGTCACATAGCAAGAGGAGTGGGAGTTACCATGGACAAAGGGACTACAAACACATGTAGCACGGTCGTGAACAAACAAGGTTAGGATAGGTATCTTACTGTGCAGCTCCACTGGAGTGCCTCTAATATTTTAATCAGATTTTCAGTGTTGCAACTAGGGATGTGTGCTCAGATATATCCAGAATGAAAATATACCCCAAAAGCACCTTATTGGTATTTTTCAGGTACATTCCAGATTTGGATACACATTAGAGAATCCTAGTGAATACTGGTATTCTAATCCCGAATATACCTGGAAATATTCGGACTTGGTGTGGGTTTTTTGTTTTTTGCTTTTAGCAGGTTTCCCATGCAATAGAAGGGGAGGTAGGCAGCTCTCAAAGGCAAATGGATTCCCAGAGGGAGCTTGCCAGCTTGCTTCTGCTGGGATTCTCTTGTTTAACATTGGTTCTCTTGGGCTTGTGCTGGCACATTTGCCCTAGGTTCTGCATTGCTTTTGTGGTTTGACACACAATTCAGTTGGTTGGCTTGGATTCTCTGGTTTGACATTTGAGATTTTGTGGTTGTCACATTGATCTGTGGTTCTGCTGGAATTCTCTGGTTTGATGTTGGTTCTGTTGGGCTTGTTGGTTCCCTTGGGAGGCATTTGGCCAGTGATTGCTTGTTCTTCCCCATAAGAAACAATGGAGTATGGCTGGGGGGCACCTTGTTCAGGGCCCCACAGAATTGGACATCTTGGTCCAATTCACTTTAAACTTGGAGATTCTTTAGTGGACAGGCAGCATCAGCTGCACTACAATTTTGGTGTAATTTGGTCTAAAACCTGCTCCTCCAGCCCCCCAGAAAGATTTTCCATAGAGAATAATGGACCTGAATAATTTTGGAAGCCCGAAAAAAATCTGTATCCAAATACTGAACCAGCATTGGAGACCTGAGTAATCCAGAATATTGATAATTATGTAATCTCTGAAATCTGGAGATTTGAGTAATCCAGAATATTGATAATTATGTAATCTCTGAAATCTGCATCCAAAAAATATATGTATATTTTTTTTCTGGTGCACATCCTTAGTTGCAATTCTGTGAAAACAGAATATTATTCTGGGTATAATATTAGACTCCCCCCTCACTTGTTGCTCTTCATTGCTCACCTTATGGGAGGAAAGATAGGAGCATTAATAGTGGGGCTCCTAATGATTTACATGGCCTTCCCATCAGTCTTCTATAAAAAGTAGCTAAGGTAGGTGAAGCAAGCTCTCCTGTCTTCCTGTAATTTGAATTCAACTGCTTCTCCAACTGAAATTGTTCCTCTGTTTTTTCTTTATTAGTGCTTGGCAGAGACATGCCTGAAGACATAAGGCTGCTGCTATTGCATGTAGATCTATCAACACCTATTACAAGACACTGCCAACCTGTTTTTACATTCTACTGAGGTCTAGACATCTACTGGCAGGTAAAAGAGGAACCTTACATTACCATGTTGTTAAATACTAGATATGTACCATGTGCATAAATATAAGGCAAGAACTCTGGTATTACCTTTGAAGCACAACATGAAAAGCTCTAAAAAGGAGTTGTTTGAATGCCAGCAAGAGAATATAAGATAAAACTTGTAGATAAATCACTCAAATACTTTCTATTGTTAAATAGCATCTTTAGGGGCTCCAGATTCAGATCAGGGCTGTGGTTAGGGGTACCATATTTTTTTAGCCTCAGATGTTCCCTGTAGCTATAATGTAGGAGAAACATATGGTTTGTCTGTATATTTCCCTCTGCAGAGTAAATATGGATGGGTGGCATTTGAGATCAGTAAAATAGTTCTGGGAGGCAGATTACACTTACCTTCCACTTTGTCACAGCACCGGTATTTTACCTAATTCTCAATATAAGTAGAAAGGTGCATTAGTCATGTATGAATCAAAGAAGGTTCAAGAAGTAAACCTATGTGCCTTTAATTCATAACATCATCAATGAAAGCTTGCCCTCATTGATTAAAACTGGACCCCACTGATCAGTATACTACACATTTTTTGGTATTTTTTAGATATGTGCTTGTGAGTTTGTGTGCTTCTGGAAGTCATGGTGACCTCTGGTGACTGACCCCTACTGGGGCCTGGAAGATATTCAGGGAGGTGGCTGAATAAAGCCTGCCTCGCCTCCTGCCTCTGGTATTCCAAGGAGGTCTCCCATCCAAGTACTTGCCGGAGCTGATCCAAGATCTGATGAGATTGGGCTTGTCTGAGCTATCCAGGACAGGGCAATATACTACATGTTATTTTGATTAATACTTTGCACATATTTATGGTTGAAGCCATATTTAGTGATACTGCTGCTGCTATTGGAGATGACAATATTTTCATGGTTACTTTCAAATCAGACCAATGCTATGTCTGATTTCTTTTGATAATAATTTTAAATTACATTTAATGAAATTACTTGATTAATCAGCTAAAGGGCAGTTGAAGAACCATCTTTAAGAAAACCAGTTGACAGCCGTACTAGTAAATTGAATTAGAAACTAAACTGTCAATATAAACATCTTTTGAATAGCAGATTCTGTTAACTGATATAATATATGAATAAATTTAAATACATATATATATATACATATACATATATCTACCTGAGGCAAATTGGGAAGTGTAAACTCCATGAGACCCAAGCCACTGCATGAATACATTTCCAGACCAATAAAAAGTTTTGTCATGGAACCTGGCCCTTCGTCATTAGTCTGAATGGGAAGAAATTTAAAATCTATGATTTTTTTGCATATAACCAACAAAGCAAAGTTACAGCAGAAGACAAAGGGTACAGGATGGTGTAGCTCTGCTTAGGAATACACTGAAGTATAAACTGAATTCTTCACACAATTTGGAATCTACTCTAATTTGGATTAATTATTTGCAATGTATGTTTAAACATCATGAGTTTACTGTGGTCTAATGGAATAACTACCTTGAAAATACTTGTCATCAACTGGCCAAATTAAAGGGTTCAATCTATCACACACTCTTTATTCTGTTTAAAGGTTGTTCATAAAAACCAATTTCTGTAACTGGAGAATACTAGAATTCTCTAAATGCAGACATATAAATCTATTATTTTTCTTTATATTTGTTATATTTGTGCAAATTCACTTCAGCACTTCTTGTCACAAACAGCAGATAAAGTGGTAAACCTGGTCTCAACATACTGCAGACAGGATTCACATGACTGAATTCCTTTTATATGCACAAAAACAGTAGTAGTCAGTGAGAAGTAGTGTAGCTGAGTCTCATCCCTGAAATGTAGTTTTCTGTTAGTTGGATCAAAACTCCTAGTATTTTTGGCCACTGTGTGACAGAGTGTTGGACTGGATGGGCTACTGACTTGATCCAACACTGGCTTCTCTTATGTTCTTATGTTCCTACTTTTGGGAATGGAAGAGCCATTCCCAAAGGTCCTCCAGCCCTCTGAAGTTGGCTTTCAGGAGGTATAGTGGATTGCAGCATGATGGGGCAGCAAAGGTTGACTGAGAGATCCTTTTTATTACATTTCTGAAGATGGATCAAATACAAATTTGTTAAAATTCATGCAGAAAGCTAAAACAGCAGTGGGCCAGATCCAAGGAACTGTAAGTTCAGCTCTGCTTGTGAAAAGGATCTTTTCCACCTCACTCTTGATGCCCTCCAGAAACAGTACCGGGGGGGGGCAGAAGACAGCTTGAAGTGTGCTCTGCTTGCACAGAAGTCCCCAAAAAGCAAACTGCAATGTGGCATGTAGGGCTATGGTAAGAAGGAGGAATTGGGTGAAACTCCCCTCTCTTCCACCAGTGGAGCTTTCTCCGCTAATTTTCTCCCTCCTTTCTGCAGGTCATGTCACTATCTGTTTGTAGTATCCAACTAGGCAGATTATTTTGTGATAACTAGGTTGACAGTACAAGATTTCTAGGCATTAGAAACATCTGAATAAAAGTTTTTCTTATGATACTTTTGAAAACCATGCCAAAATTGCTATTTATTGTAGTTTTAACAATGAGATCTAAAATTATTTTTGTACCTAGCATCAAATTACAATTATGCTATGTAAACCTTCAACTGCACCAATCAAATATTGTTTAGAGTGAAATAGGGCACCTAACAGTTCTACATAAAGTTTCAGTTTACTGGGCTGACTCCAGTCCATCATCTCTTTGCCGCGTATATAGCAACTTTGCAAACCATCCACTTTACATTAAATTCAGCAGCTAAATACAGAGAAACCAAGTTGCAATTCACTAGTTGCAGTGGAAATCATTCTGAAGTGTGCAGAGCATTCCGAAATAAATTATGATAATCAAGTTGGAAGTTATGATGGATACATTTTATGCTAAATTATATCATTTCTATATTGTTTTATCTATATTTATGGTTTGCGAAACTGGTTTACCTTGTAAATGATACAATAAAAGAGAGGAAAAAAATCTCTAGTATTTCTCCTGGGCCTTTTCTCAAGGTTGCCGTCAGCAGAAGGATGAGCAAAGGAACACACAGGGGCCTGAATAACAGGCCACAGCTGAACCATCCAATATGAAGCATAGGAGGACCTTGGTTTAAAGTAAAGTACCTACATAGTCACAGCATGCTTTGCTTGGGAGGAGCATACAGGGTGTGGAGGAGAACTGGCAGGTGATGGAAGGTTAAATTGGAGCTTTATGAAAAGCCACACTACACTGAGCACTGTTTACTCAGAAGGCAAGACTGTGACCTTATTCTACAACAGAATTGGTATTTATAATGAAGCGTCTAATGGTGTTATTTTTCAGACAAATAGGTTGTCCTATACATTAGACAGAATTACCTCATCTTCTGCTCCATGCCGACTCCCAATGTGATGCTGAACTAACTGTTTTGCTTTCACCCAGGTAGCAAAAATCTGTTGACGTACAGCAATAGGCACCAGTTCATCACTTCCACTTGGCAAATTCATAGCAAATTCACACACCTAGAGATGAATATTTTACAAATGTTGAACTACTAATGGCAAATCAGAGTGGTTATTACACTCCCACCTATTGTATATTGTATGCTTTTCCTCGAAATACATGGTGGTGCTTATGATATTAATAAATTGTTCTTTGGCCCTTGGCTAGACAACAATCATGCAAATAAACAAATAACTATAAACTGAACCAAACATTGCAAGGACAAATAAGGTGAAGGGTCTGCCTTGGATGTCAAAACAATCTGTTATTAGAGAACACTGGATTACATGCACCCTGAAGGAGAGAATTTTTTTTTTGCTCTGCAACTATAAATGTCAAAATGATGGCCAAGTGGAAGCCTGTGGACAGTATTCTTAAATGGTTTCTTACAGCCTCTAACATTTCTGGCAGCCAACTCGTTGTATTGGGGTCCCTAGCACTGTGATACCATGTGACTCCCCCCACCTTTTGCTCATATGTGGGCCATGATGTCGATACTGAAGATGCCATTCTGCAGAGGGACCAGGCTTTTTACATCAGCCTGCCTGGCCAACAGTCAACTCTTTTCTTGTACTACACTAGTGGCCAACCACACCGGTGGAGAGGGAAGGAAGGACAGTGAGGCACCTTCCTTTGGCCAGAGTTTACCTATTTATATTTGTATTCTTAATTATCTTGAGTTTATCTTTGAAAAAGAATGTATATCAGATAAATAGATGAATACATTGGGATTTCCCAACATAGGCAGCTTACAGTGGACCATCAAGCAGAGACCTGTACAACTGTTTCTTCCATATCCCTCGGTTCTTGACTGACCATTGGGAGAGGAGCCAAGTACAGACTATAAGCCAATTGAAGGAAAATGCCAGCTCACATAGCAAGAAAAAGGGGGAAACCTACAGCTTTTTACTAGATGACTATGCAAAGGTGCTGCATCTGGCTAGCAGTGACAATGCTCTCCACTCAGTATTTCCACTACTGTACAAGGCGGCAGTCCTGTGCTACTTTCCTTTTCTACCTCTGCATTCTTGATATGGTTAAACAATCTATCCACTTCCCAGGAAGATGTGCCAGGAAATGCAGAAAGATCTCAAAATGTTATCTTAGATACAGTTTATGGGATGCTACTGCCCTTTCTTCTCTCATCCCATTTTTTAAAAAAATCTTGTTTTCCTTCTACTACGCTCCTGAAGGTGGACAAATTATTTTCTTTTAAACTTACATGTTTATAGTTTCAATTTTAAATTTATTAACAATGTCAGCAAAAAAGGTGTTTTTTAATTTTAATTTTCCCAAAAAACATATTGCTAGCTGTTTTTAGTTTGAAGAACCATTTTTAAAGAGTGTCTTATAACTTTTAATGAATCAGCTACCAAACAGCTGGGAGTCAAATCATACTGCCTTCAGTAAGAAACAGCCACCCCTGTTCTATACAACTCATTATTTGTTCAGAAGACCTGTACAATGGAAAAGGTGTACCTCTAAGGCTGCTTTAATGTCAGGGAACCCTGATGAATCCACAGACAAAGATGACATGGCAACTGTTTTTTCATGTACTTTTTGAAGCTTTTTACGTTTTGTAGGTCCTTCTTCCGTAACTTTCTTTTCATCAGTTTTCAAAACTGGTTTCGGAATCCAAGGAAGAATTAGGCCCCGAGCCAGAGCATTACATAAGGTCACTAAAAGAGTTGTGTTCCTGAACAAAATATCCCCCACCAAAAAAACAAATCAAAACAAAAACCACACACACAAAAGGAAGAATTTGTACGAGTGTAATTACAGGTTACACGCAACTACCATTTTTCAATGTTTTAATAGTCACATTCAACTTTAGCAGCTACTGTTTTTAATGTTTTCAAATGGAGGCTGACATTCCCCCTTTCTTCAACCTAGATGACCAAGGTACATACAACTGGATACTGGCTCCACCCAGCATCACCTAAGGCACCCAAGAGGCCTTCTTGACATCACAGCCTCCAATATCTTTGCTTCTATGCCCTTTTGTTTTTGAACATCCAGCCTGATGGCAAGTTCTGGAGAACTCAAAAGCTCTGCATTGTATCTTGTGACATTTGGCTTAGTTCTAGTAACAGGCATTTGATGGCTTTCCTTTTGGGATTTTTCTTGGGACCAACACAGAAAACAAATTTTCTATTATATTAACAGTTAAATCAACATGTTAAATATTAAAAGACAGGAAAAACATAGCAGGCAGTTTAATCCTAAGCATATCTACTTGGAATCTTTATCCTATGGGGCTTACTCACAGGACAGTGTTCTTAGGATTGCAGTAATAAATTAAATTATACATATGATTAAAATGCAGTTCAGTGTTAAGCTTTGTTTTTGAGGTAACAGATGAAAAAAATGTGAATATGCTAGCTGGATAATATTTAAGTATGAATTCTATCCTGTCTTTGAAAGAAGCAGCTTAGTGACCAAGCTGGAAAAAGCCTCATGCATTTTAAGTCTCTTGTTATCAGTATTATACCTGATAAGTCCTTTCCAACAATGCTTGAAAAAAATGGGAAGATGTAACACTAGCATAGTCCTAGCCAGCCAGCATGTGATATGGTTATTCTCCTCCACACACAGTGAAAATAGAGGAGGGGATAACCTTATCCCATGTGGAGGATAAACTTTGTAATCCTAATAAGTGGAAGCACACCAGATCCTCCTAAGAAAATGAGGTCTAGCTAAACAGCTCCTGAAAACTACCTGTGAGGTGCGTTGAATAACTTTTGCAGCTCACACCATGGAGGTGACAATTATGTATATATTGATAAGATATAGATCTTATCAATATATACATGTGGCTGCCACAATTTCTGTTACAACTTGGAATGGAAAAATGGCTACTATGGGCTCACAAATAGGGACAGGCAGGAACCGTATTTTTGAAGTTTAGTTTGTGGTTTGTGGCTGAGCCACAAATCAAACCAGGAGGTTGGTTCAGAAACTGACCTAGTTCATATTGGTTCGTGAGCCATTTAAAGTTTAAACCCTTGCTTTCTGTTCTTCATAAACCGCCACAAACTGCATCAAAATTCGTTAAAGTTCATGGAAGTTTTTCAGTTTGGAACACTGCTTCATGAACCATGAACTGCCCCAAACTTTAGTTCATCAGCCAGTTTGTGCCCATCCCTACTCACAAACTGTGATGGTTGTCTGTATAAGTCTGTGGAAATGCTTAATACAGCCAGAACCTCCAAGTGATCCCTGCTGGATTTTGACCTTGGAGGTATGCTTAGGCCAGGAGAGTATGTTTGATGTTTGTATTCTGGCAGGGTTTTTTTTTAAATTGCTGGGGTTATTATTTGTTTGGATGACACTGCAACTTGTGTTGGCACTGTATAACATTACTGTACTTTTGGAAAATTTGAAATAAACAAAAAGTGTAAAAAAACCTCAAGTAACCAAAACAATCAATCAACATTTCAAAAAAAGATGACATACAATTACAAATCAGTTAATCTTTTATGACATATACAGTTGATTTCTATTACTAAACATCAACACTGAATGATATGCATGAAATCAATTTGCACCCAACAATATCTGGCTAACTGCTGAAACATTCTGTACCTAGCAAATGGTGCATCCATAATATATTTTTCTTTTGATCAATTTCATGACTAGCTACTTTACTGTCACTTATAAAAGCTGTGCTTAGTCTCCTTTGAAACTGATGAGATGTGGATAGACAAAAGCAAATAGAAGTAGAGGGAAGGTTTATTCTATCAGCTGAAACACACTCCTAATTGGTTGCCAGTGGAGAACCAGATCAGATTCAAGGTTTTGGTGCTTACCTTTAAAGCCCTTAACGGTCAGGGACCTACGTACCTTCGGAACTGTCTCCCCCGATATGTCCCTTGAAGGGCATTAAGATCAGCAGATAAGAATCTCCTGGTGATTCCTGGCCTCAAAGATATCCGGCTGGCCTCGACCAGGGCCAGGGCTTTCTCAGCCCTAGCCCCATCCTGGTGAAACTCTCTGCCGAATGACATTTGTGCCCTGTCTGATCTAGTTCCCCAGGGCATGCAAGGCAGAGATGTTCCGCCAGGCCTTTGGTTGAGGCCAGCGACGGTTTCTCTACATCTGCCCGGCACCCTCCACTCCCCCTCATGGAAATCATGAAAATCTGAATGCTAATCATGCCATCTTGTTAAAGTATTTAAATACTTATGCTGAATGTTTTAGTACGGAATTTTTGTAGTTTTAACTGGTTTTAAAATTTGTATTGGGTTTTATGTTGTTGTAAACCGCCCTGAGCACCGCATAAGCAGGGAAGGGTGGTTAAGAAATCAAATGAAATAAAATAAAATAAAATAAAAAATTATGGCAATAAGGTGCTAACAAAAGTCCTTCAGTGATACCGAGGAAAAGGAAATAAAAATAAAACTGGCAGCACTAGCAAAAAGAAATTAAATTGACATTCTGTGCTCATGTGGATCAAAAAAAGGAAAACAAGGAAGTACCCATCCAAACTTTTTCAGAACTTACCCACAGTGCCCAGTATTTTTAATTGTGCTAAAAAGAATCTGCAGGGAATCCACAATTTCTTTCTGTCTTCCTGAAGCAATCAGATGCTTATTGTGATTTAAAACATATACCACAGCGTTGTGTACAATCCACGCTTCATTTAATTCTTCTCCAATTCTGGCAGCACGCATAAAGTTTTCCATGGCATATTGAGACAAGCCATTGATCCAAGTGCTAAGAAATCAACAAGAGATTTGAAATTATCAAAGGGGGGGACATCCTAAAATATAAGTATTAAAAGGCTTGTCCTTTAAGAAGCATCATATGGGTTTCTTGAAGACTATCATTTTCAAACATTCCTCCATAGTCTAAGCCTTAGGAGCTTATCTTCCCTTTGCTGTCATTCTCAGATGGAGATTCGATCTTCTAATGTAGCATACTTTGCACACACAAAATACAACATTTGCATGCAAAGATCCAAAATCATCTCACAGCCTTCACATGCATATGTCAAAGCAGACATGAGTCAGAATGCACTTGCCACAAACCCATGACGTGCCATCCATACTGCTTGCAATCAAGGTAATATTGAAAGCTTCTGCTTTAGAGTTGTGATACTGCCAGTACTTCAGAACAAGCCAATGGTAGGAAGACTCCATGCAACTATGCCCTTGCACTCCATATGTATCCCTTGCTTCCAAACTGTCAAAAGGAAGACAAAGCTTCCATAAACATGAATCAAAGAAAATTCTATATCCCACCCACAATCAAAGAAAAGTCTATATCCCACCCACATCTGTGAAAGGTGCTAATATTAGAGCTGTTCACAAGTTACTGAGATCACATGCAGAGTTCATGTAAAGTATACACTGGATTTTTCGTTATAAGTTCACTGTTTCCAGACTATGCCAACAGAATTACTCCTGCAACGATATTTAAAAATACCCCAGGAACAACGTATTTGTATCTGTAAAACTTCCATGGAGGATCTTTTTCATTATGTCATGGTCTGCCCGTTGTACTGGGAACTGAGATGTAAATTCTTAAGTGCAATAATAGATCAATTGCAGAATTTTTCTGACATCGATAAATTAATATTTCTGCTCTCTGACGCAGACCCTACAGTTTTCTATAGGGTAGCACTCTTCACCTTAGCGGCTAGTTAAATCAAGGCCAAGAACATAGTAAAATGAAATCCAACTGTAAAACGGCGATGCAAAATGGCAATGTTTGGGCTGTGTATGTGTTTCTGGAGATGGGTATCTATATTTAAGATTTTAATTAATTTAAATACTGAATGAGCAGATTTTTAGAGGTTGTTAAAGTTTCAATCTAATTCAAATTCCAGTGCTGTAAATTGTCTAATCTGTACATTTTTAAAAATTGTAATGGCTAATGGCTACACAATAAATTTTTACTATCATTGTATGTTCACTGGGTCATTCTCATGTTATGTTCAACACACCATGAGATTTAAACCCCATATTTATCTAAGTACTGATCCCCAGTTTCATTTGTAAAGCATACACTTTGCCCTTTCTTACAAACAGATGTGTACACATAAATTTAGGGTGTAACAGTGTTCACTGTAACATGTGGAATGGAACACAGATATAAAGATAAAAGAAATGATTTTTCACTATACCCTTCTTCCATGCAATGTTTTGTTAAACTGAATATAGATTTCTAATTATTTTAATGTGGGACTGCAGCATTTCAGTTTCTGCAGGATTCTGTCTAATTTATCTACAATGACAGGGTCCCTCCAGGACATGAAAGATCAGTGAACCACTCTGCCCTTCCTTGCTAGAAAGATGAAACATTCAGCCACATAGCTCCAAGCAGTATTTCCAATGGCAGAGGTTCATATTGGCATGCCCATGCATCTTATGCTGTTGTTATTTAGCAAGTGCATGTCTCCAAGCTGGTCTGAAATCTTTGCTTCTTTTTCATTGCAAGCAAGAATCTATTTCAAGTATCCACTGGGCAATATACACAAAAAAATAAGTTTATCCTAATTGCCTAATATGTTTTTAGGCTGCAGTCCTAAGAACAGTTTCCTGGGAGTAAGAGCTATTGAATAAAATTGGGTTTACTTTGAGGAGACCTGTTTAGGATTGCTTCCTTAGACAGCATGGTATGTCAGATGTAATCAGAGTGCTTGAGTGAGGAGATTAAGGTCTTGTTCTGAATGGATTTACAGAATTGTTTTTTTCCATAATTACAAAGTAGTTTTTTCCAGCCACATTACAGTGCAATTATGAGGAATGGACTTACAAGAAGAGTTGTTTGTACCAAGGCCAACACATATGCAGTCATTTTGATGGTAAAGGTTGACAAATTCATTATCGTTTCTAACCCTAAATCTTACTGAATCCTTTACACACTCCAGCTCCCAGAGACTCAATTGTTTTAAAAAACGTGAAAAAACTAACTGAAAAGTTATCATAAGAGTTAATTTTACAGCTACATAATGAAGATCAGTTACATAATCAATACACCTAAGATAATCTTCTGATAGCAAGCCTTCATGATCCAGGGACGAAGCTGACATGTAGAAAAGAACATTTGAATAAGAGAAAATACTTTTATTTGATTCCTGTGTTGAGTAAATATCCAATTTTCATTGATTACTTGAAGTGCAACCCAGATCCTATTCAATTTTGTAATTCACAAAAGGAACCAGAAGAAAAAACTGACAATCAAGACAAGAACAGCATATGAAGCACAGCTAATACATAACTGCACAATATTTTGGATTCTTCTGTTCAACATTTACAGTATTTATGAGTGGAGGCCTGTAAAAACTTGCAGCCCTTCTCCCTTTGCTTCCTTCCCTCTCCCACTTCTGTAACAATTTCCCCCTTCTTTCTCATCCCTATCCCTTCTGCCAATCTTCTCCTTTTCTGACAAACGTCCCCTCTTTCTCCCTCTCTCCTTATCTGTCAACCTACTCCCCTCTTTTATTCCCACCCTTCTCTGTGAATCTACTTCTCCCTTCTCTGTCAACTTACCCCCACTCTATTTGTCCCCTGTCTTTCTCCCCCCTTATCTGTCAAACCTTTCTCTTTTGCCCCCACACATTCTCCATCAATCTCCTCCTCCCTTTCTCTGTCAACCTACCCCTTCTCTATTTTCCCCCTCCCCTTCACTAACAAACTCTCCTCTTTCATCTCCTCCCCTTCTTGCCAACATTCCTCTCCATCTCTCTTTCTCCCCCCCCCTTACCTTAATGCCCATGGCAACTGCAGTGCCTGGAAACGTCTCTGGGCCTGGAGCGGCTCCTGTCACTGAGCCAGGTGCGGCTCCAGGCTTCTGATCCTGACCACGGTAGTGTCTGGGAACTGCTCTGGGCTCAGAGAGGCTCCTGGACTCTGCTGCAGCTGGGCCTGGAGCAGCTGCTGGACTTTGTGTAGTGTATTCAAAGCTGCCTTGAATGCATGATATGTTGTGAAACATCTAATTGAAGTACAATGTTAAGCTTCGTCCTGGGCTAGGATCCAAATCCATCCAGTCGTGTTACTAGCCCAGGAAGCACCTAACCAATCACCTTCTAGCAAGCTCCCTGAGCGGGAACATCCATGATTGGTCCTTATGTGAACAACCTTATTGGTTGGTATTTGTACAGTGGGTGTGGCTACATTAGCCGGGAATGTTTAAAAGCAGGACAGCTGCAATGTAAAGGCTGTTCCGGCTATCAGATGTTGATCCGTGTTGGAGTTGTGTTTGAGTTGCTGAATAAAGCTGAATCTTTGCTGAATCACTCTCCGACTACTTTGTTAAGTGAGCGACTTAACACTCTGCTGCTTCTGTGGCTGGGCCCAAAGCAGCTCCTGGCATCCACTGAAGCTACAGCTGGGCCCTGAGCAGCTAACGGCACCTGCCGCCACCGGCTTTAAAGCGTGCTATTTGGGGAAAAATTATGCCCCCAATGTATTTTTAAGTGCTGACTCAACAGAGAGAAAGCTGGGGTTAAGAATAAATATAGTCTAAGACACTTCTTGATAAAACAAAGTTTCTTCCTCACAGCTCCAGCCATCACCCAAATTATTATAACAGCATGAACCTGAACACAGAGGCAAGCACAGAGAGTATGCAGAGAATTAGGATTTGGGATTTCTGCTCCAACCTCAGACTGGGTGAGAGGGAATGTACAAAATATAAGCTGTATAGTTAGAAAGTTACAGGAACTCAAATAGACAATTAAGGTACAATCCTGATCATACAATGCCCTTTTCACTTCAGCAGGCAGAAAGTAAGTTTATACTCAAAATAGAGACACCCACTGGCCATAGTGTTAGACTGGTAAGATCCACACTCAGTCATGAAGTTCACTGAGTTATCTTAGGTCACTCATTCCTTCTCAGCTTAATCTACCTCACAAGGCTGTTATAAGGATAAAATGGAGCCTGCACTGAGCTCATCAGAGGGAGAGCAGAATAAAAACAAAAAAATACATAAAGGTAACAGTTGCTGTAACATCTCTTTCTGCTGGTAGAAAGTACTCTGAAAAATGGTCAAGAAATCATGATCTCTTTTTTCAGAGATGACTGAAATGACATTACACACCACAACGTTCATAATTACTGAAATTTAGAATTTTTTCATCACTAAGATACTTACAGGAAACTTTGAAATGCAAATATTGAAACTTCAAATCCAAAATCATTTCACTTATCTAACTGGTCTTAATTTTAAGAGCTAACTGCCTTGGAAGCATGGTAAACCCAAACAGGTATGCAATTTTTCAAAGAAAACCACCTGTAGGTAATCCATTCTGAGTCGTGTTCAAGTTGCACAGGATGTCCTGTTGAGTGCTGGCCTGCATCTCCAGGGAGGACAGCACGATCGTTGAGTTGGATGCCTTCCATTCTTAGCAAATGAACAGTAGCCTGAAAGTATACATTAAGAGGAAAGGCGAAAGAAATTGACTCTTCATCTACTAATACATAAATAAGTGATATCATATAACTTCATCAGAATTATATTATGGCCTTGATATCAGAGAATCCTCTGAAATACAGCTGGAATCTTTGGGGGGCAGCTGGATTTTTATGCTCCTTTTCCTTCTAAAACAGAGAAACAGACTCTTCAATTCCATTGCATACTGTGAACACAAACAGAGATGACATGAGTTCTTTCCTTATTACCTGCCTCAGCTGCACTTTCCTGTACATGAGCCAAGACACTAGCATATGGTAGTAAACAACTAAACTGCCTTTTAAAAAGAGCTTTGCTAACATTTCTGCTGCTTCTTATACTGTGGGTCAACAAAGACTTTTCTTCCATATACACCGGAATGGGCTCGGATGTGCACAGTTCAAAACATGGGTCCTGTTAAAAACCAGCCTTCAACAGAGTCCTGAAGTCAAGGAACAACTTTCCTTCCCTCTCCCACTTCTCTGACAATTCAATGTACTCATCACGGAAAAAGTGGCTGTTTGAACATTGCCATTGAGACTAGATCTTAGATTTTGTAAGAATTCTGTCCAACAAAAAAGGTACATGTCCTTTTTTGAAACTGAATGTATTACTTGAAAGGTCTGTTGAATGTATAACAAAGCTGTCTCACAGGAATCCTAAACCCAGGATGCTAATGCTTGTGTACCTAGTTGTGATTCTATGCTCTTTCAGATGGTGAAACAAATGTGAAAAAAAGGAAAAAGATCCAGCTCCAAGGAGTTGAGAGATCACAGGAACTGTACTAAAACCCCTAACTACCATGGCTACACTCTCTAATCAGAGAAACAGGCTGACAATGCCTCTGTGTCAGCTACATACAGAAGCAGCCAAGCAACACATGCCAATTCTGTCATACCTCCATGACATCACCTTTAAATATCTTAAATAAAATATGGTCTTCACATACTGTTGGACCAGTTATCTTGAAAGATTTAAAGGTATCAAAATCCTGGAGATTTTTTGAAATATACAATAATAATAATAATAATAATAATAATAATAATAATAATAATAATAATAATAATAATAATAATACAATTGCATATAATCCAATAAATAATAAACCATAATAACAATAACAGTAACAATAACATTAATGAAGTGTCTATATCAATGTTGCAATATTTTTAGTCACGATTTTATTTTTTAATTATAGAAGGATTTGTTTCTTTTTTTCTTTTTCAGGTATTTCATCAAATTCAGTTAATTCCTCAAGATACTTAATTCAGTTAAATATTCTGTCGTTAAAGTTGATTTATAAATACATTGTATATATGTCAAAGTGGTTGTATTGATGATTACTTGTCAGTTACCTAGCATATTGTCTACTGCATAATTCCACAAGAGGGAAATTCTTGTCATTTTATCTTTTTTGCTGTATCAGCTGATCATCACAGGACATCTATATATCTAATTCCAACAGGGGGTGGGTTGTGCGGATACTTATTTCTGCCAACAGAGGGCTCACTCTCCCCCAACAGCTTTTCCTACATAGTCAGTATACTTCCTATGTCTGCAGAAAAATCCAAGAAGTAAAAAAATCCCTTCAGGGAGGGTTGAATTCCCCCCAATACCTTTTGAAATGGGCTCCGTATGGATCTAACTACAGGCATCAACGGTGAGAGATTAGAATATTCAGGGCGGGGGGGGGAGGCTTCTAGCTGGCTCTATCAGTAAAAGGGTGGGGGAAGGGCCCTTTCGTGGCCTCTTTTGGCCTCTGAGGGAGGGAGGGAGCTTTGGGGCCAGGCCTGACAAGGGCTGCCAGTGCCAGCCTGGGGAATCCCTAGAGGTTTTGAGGTGGACTGTAAGGAGGGCTCGGTTTGGGGAAGGGAGAGGCCTCAGCTGGGTATAATGCCACAGAGTCCACCCTCCAAAGCAGCCATTTTCTCCAGGGAGACAGATCTCTGCTGTTTTGAGTTCAGTTGTAATTCTGGGGGGGTAGTCCTCCAGGCCCCACTTAGAGGTTGGCAACCCTAGGCCTGGCAGCAGTTTAGGGTTGCCAGGTCCCCCCCTGGCCACTGGCAGGGGATTGTGGATAAGGCTGCCAGATCCAGGCTGGGAAACTCCTGGAGATTGGGGGTGGAGCCTGGGGAGGACAGGGACCTCAGTGAGGTACAATGTCACAGAGTCCACCCTCCAAAGCATCTATTTTCTCCATGGGAAGTTATCTCTGTAGTCTGGAGATGAGCAGTGTTACGAATGAGACTGATATTTTGCTTTATGGATTTATATTTGCTGGCAGACACTACATGGACTGTGCACAGACACCCATAGGCTCACAGAAAGCTGCACAAGTCACTTGTTGTGAGATACACATAGATGGTGACTTGCTTTAAGCCTTATATGTTAATGAGGTTTCAAATACACAGCTACTAGCCTGAGGGAGAGAAGCACACATCGCCATTATGGTCAGCAAACAACTACTTGAGGAAAAGCATCCCCCATTGATGAACTGTTGAAAGACACGTAGTACACATCTCTGCTTTACATCTGAATGAGCATTTCCTGTCAGATACCTCTTTGATCACCTGGGAAAGGCCAAGCTTCATCTGCACATCAAGGAAGTTCCTTGACACCAAACTTTCACATTTATCCAGACGCCTTTCCTTGAATTAGATCTAGTGTTATAATATTGGCCCAACCCTTTAGGTTGCCACCCCTCACTGCATGCAACCAATCAAGTTAGTTTTGGGATGGACTTACAGGTAGGTGGGTCCAAAGGTTGGCTCAGTTGCCACCCACCCAAAGATTCACCTATAAAAGGTGAAGACCAGCTGCCTGGCCGCTGCTAGCCGCCTTCACCCCCAACACCCCCTGTCTGCTTTTAAACTCCTCTTAAGTCCAGCTTCCTGTACCAAAACCCTTGCCTTTACTTTGCAGTCAAGAGACCCACACTAGCTGGCTGGTTCTAGCAGTGTGTTAAATATCCCTAGTCTATTTTTCTAACCCTCATTCTTCATTGGGATGTGCAAGCTTCAGGACAGATAAGTATTGCTCTTTATCACCCCACCTGTGAATGCAAAAGTGATTCTTTGTAATCTTGTATTCCTAAGGAACTTGATTCAATGTGTGTGTGCTTCAGTATTGTGTGTATGTGATTTATATATTCTTAAGTAAAAAAGAGATTATTTTGGAACCACCAGCCTCGACTCTTTTACTGGTAAATCCCTGGGGTGGACTGGACCTTGGTATAGCTGGCAAAAACAACCCAGAGTAAAATTTGCCAACTGCTGTAGATAAAGCAGTTCGGCTAACAGCAGTAATTCCAGGGGATCCCTAGGTCCCTCCTGGAGGCTGGCATCCCTAGGCAGCACCCTCTGGGTGACTTGATACCACCTGATCTGCATGACTCAATTAAACCCAGCTGCTTGCTACTGTTCATCAGCAGCCACCCTATGAAAGCCAGTCTGGTGCATCAGTTAGAGCTTCAGATTAGGGTCTGCAAGACCCAGGTTCAGATCCCCATCATGCAGTGGAAGCTGACTGGGTGATTTTGGACTAATCACATACTTTCAGCCTAGCCTAGACACTTGTGGAGTGGAGCCTGACGAGGGTGGGATTTGAGGAGGAGAGGAACTACAGATCAGTATAATGCCATAGACTTCACCCTCCAAACCATACATGGAGGAGAGAGAGAGAGAAAGAAAGGGGGGCAGAAGAGAGAAAGAGTGTGAGAGAGGTAGAGGGAGACAGGAGGAAGCAAAGGTGTGAGGAATAGATAACCATCCCACAAGTTTCTTGCGGGTCTCCACTTGTAATTCTCTATTTGCTGTTTCACAAAGATAAAAGGATATCATACCAGGCTGCATTATAATTGCAGCTAAGAAAATTCGAGCAAGGTACATGGGGAAATAAGTCCAAAAATGCTGTTTTTATCTTAATGTAAGTAATAAGTAATAAGAGACGCCAGTGTTGGATCAGGCCAAAGGCCCATCCAGTCCAACACTCTGTGTCACACAGTGGCCAGAAATACCAGTGCCATCAGGAGGTCCACCAGTGGGGCCAGGACATTAGAAGCCCTCCCACTGTTGACCCCCCCCAAGCACCAAGATGACAGAGCATCACTTGCCCCAGAGCCCCTATGTATACCTTGTGGCTAATAGCCACTGATGGACCTCTGCTCCATATGCTTATCTAATTCCCTTTTGAAGCCGTCCATGCTTGTAGCTGCCACCACCTTCTGTGGCTGTGAATTCCATGTGTTAATCACTCTTTGGGTGAAGAAGTACTTCCTTTTATCCATTCTAACCTGACCGCTCAGCAATTTCATTGAGTGCCCACAAGTTCTTGTATTGTGAGCAAGGGAGAAAAGTACCTCTTTCTCTACCTGCTCTATCTCATGCATAATCTTATAAACCTCAATCATGTCTCCCCTCAGTCGTCGTTTCTCCAAGCTAAAGAGCCCTAAGCGCTTTAACCTTTCCTCATAGGGAAAGTGTTCCAACCCTTTTATCATTCGAGTTGCCCTTTTCTGCACTTTCCCCAAAGCTATAATATCCTTTTTAAGGTGTGGTGACCAGAACTGCACACAGTATTCCAAATGAGGTCGCACCATTGATTTACATAGGGGCATTATGAAGATGATGCTGTTAAAGTGTTGCACTCAATTTGCCAGCAAATTTGGAAAACGCAACAGTGGCCACAGGATTGGAAAAGGTCAGTATACATTTCAATCCCAAAGAAGGGCAATGCCAAGGAATGTTCAAACTATCACACAATTGCACTCATATCACACCCTAGCAAGGTCATGCTCAAGATCCTACAAGCTAGGCTTCAACAGTACGTGGATAGAGAACTGCCAGAAGTACAAGCTGGGTTTCGAAGAGGTAGAGGAACTAGAGATCAAATTG